GAAAATATCCATTTCATGGCTCAGTATAACCCGTGGAGGTTAAGGGCACTGACACACACACATCCCTCTAAGTTTGTCCATGCCACTCTTGCATCATCCTTTAATATTAGGGATGTGATGAATTCCCACCAAGTAACTTGTTCCTGATTAAGTCAGGCTGTCAAGACACATTGAGACAGTCTGTCAAGAAATCATTGACCTCACAAGATTACCTACTTCTGTCTGGCTTACAATTAATTTGCCTTCATGGCAGCTCTAGGGATGACTTGAAAGGATATTTCACCTTCGTTAATAGTTGGGCAGGGAGTGTCATCGATTATATATTTTGTTCCCCTGGGTTGGTGTCCCAGGAGACAAAATATAATGTATTAGATCAACCCAATAGCAATCACCTACCCATCTGTCTCTCCCTTCCCCCGACAACTCCAGAGTTGCCCTCATCAGGGATGGAGGCAGAGCATAATTTTCCCGAATTATAAAAATGCTTTTTCAGAATCTGGCTAAATGGATGGAGGAAAATAACATCCTTCACCAGGAACAAGCTGTTTTCAGGAAGGGCCATAGCACAGTAAATCAAATCTACACAGTAGATCAAATCATCTTGTATGCAAATATACCGCCAGGCCATTCAAATGGCTGTTCACAATTTTTATTTACTTTTCCTCTGGATTTGACACAATCACCAGAAATCGCCTGTGGGATAAGCTCGCAGAGACTAACATCGGTAAGAGACTCCTAACACTAATACAGGAACAATATTCCAACATAACATTGAGGGTAAGGATTAGCACAGATGGGCTAATACAGGAACAATATTCCAACATAACGTTGAGGGTAAGGATTAGCACAGATGGAAGGCTGACAGAGGAAATTCATACCAACAAAGGGGTAAAATAAGGGTGCTTCCTTGCACCCCTACCCTTTATTTATTTATTTTATTTATACCCCACCAATCTGGTCTTCCGACCACTCTAGGTGGCTTTAACTTTTATATCAATAATATTGTATCAGCTTTAAACCATCCAGATCACTCCCCCTCCTCAATTAGGAGTTATAAGACTGCAAGTCTTATATACGCTGATGACATTGTATTACTATCTATGAACAAAAAGGGACTAAAGAGAAGTTTAAATAAGCTCCAAGAGTTCAGCCACCCAGAGCAACTAAAAATAAATTACACAAAATCTAACGGGATGATTTTTGGAAAGCATTCCCCCAAATTCAGCTGGACTATAGGTGAAAATAGGACAAATCCAGACCTTTAAGTACCTAGGAGTGCATTTCAATGAGAAAAACTACTAGAAATGCCAGATACAGAGCATCAAAATATCAGTTCAGAAATCTAGCCATGCTTTGGCCAACTTTTTCCATTCTAAAGGTGGTAACCTAGTAATCGCAGCTTTAAAAGTCTTTTCAGGGAAAGGTGATCTTTCAAATGCTTTATGGAATTGAGATCTGGGGTATGAATCAGAACAACCGACACCATCTTGAAGTAGGACAGGACTCGTTACTGAGACATATCCTCGTGGCACCCTAGGGGACTCCGGCAGCTTTTCTTAGAACAGAAATAGGCATGGTGTCCATTAAAGCCTGGGCAACTCTAGCTATATTCTTCTACTATAAGAGGGTGATGGATATGTCCGGTCACCGTCTACCTAAATGCTGTATGGTAGAGCAATGGAAGAGTTGCGGCCGGGCAACTTTAGTTCAAACCCTACTAAAATCTAAATTCCTCTCCACTGACATTTTTGGTTTTTTCTGGGGTTAAAATAATGTTGAGAGACTGGATCTACAAATTAGATAATGACCACGACTTAGCCTTAATAGACTCTTCAAATTTCTCTCACTCGTACTATCTGCTGAAAACAGATGGTACTTACATACACTTACTTTTGTCTCCCTGAGAGCCAGATTCGCAGAACTCCGTTATCAAACCATGCCAACATGACAGCATGAATGTCCCCAAGCATCTAAGGCTGTGTATTTGTGGAGCAGGTGAGATATTTACTCACCTGTCAGCTCTATCAAAACCTTAGAGAAAATTTCCTGGGTAACATTTTGGCTGCTCTACAGGAGGAAAGCCCTCAGATAATTGTGGTCAGGTTACTTTTGGACTGTGACCCATATCTTACATAAAGAACAGCGTTGTTTGCAAAAACAGCCAGAAATATCCACGGTAATTTCCTGACAGCCATCGCAATCAATTGTGCGGGGGACTCCCAGATATGAAGGGTCTCTTATTTTATATGTCTGTGATTTTATCATGATTTTACTTTATTGATTTACTCACTTTAGCCAACTTCTTAATAATATCAGTTTTCTGAAGTTCCCTATCTATCTTGACTACTCAATTTCTCTCCTCCACACTCTCATTCTCTCTTTCACCTTCTCTCCTCCTAACTCCCACTCTAACTGCCTCTAACTGCCTGTCTACCTGACTCCGCCCCTCCTGTCCTCTCATAGGCTCCTGCACTTGAGCTTCAGCTATGATTGACAGGAGTGACGTGGGCATTCCGTCAGAACCAGGACTTAGCCTTAATAGAATCTTCAAATTTCTCTCACTGGTACCATCTGCTGAAACAAACCACTCAAGGGCACAATACTTACATAGAGTTACTTTTGCTTCCCTGAGAATCGCATTCACAGAACTCCATTTTCAAACCATGCCAACCACTGTCTTAAATGGCAGGTACATGAATGTCTCTAAGCATCTAAGGCTGTGTATTTGTGGAGCAAGTGAGATAAAGGATGTTGTCCACTATTTACTCAACTGTCAGCTCTATTAAAACACCAGAGAAAAATTCCTGGGTAACATTTTGGCTGCCGTATGGGAGGAAAGCCCTCAGATACAGGTAGTTAGATTACTTTTGGACTGTGACCCATACTTTTGGACTGTGTACAGGTAGTTAGGTTACTTTTGGACTGTGACATACAGAACAGCACTATTTACAAAAGCGGCCAGAAACATCCACGCTAATTTCCTGAGAGCTATTATGATCAATTGTGCGGGGGACTCCCAGATATGAAGGGTCTCTTATTATTTTATATGTCTGTGATTTTATCATGAATTTACTTGATCATATTTGTATTTTAAACAACTGTGACAGCTTTTAGCCAATACAATAAACTTGAACTTGACCTACTTCTGTTATGAGAACAAAATAAGGAGCAGAGGAAAGCTTCTGAGGTTTATGCAAACTGAACAAAATATCTCTTTCCAACACTAATATCATTTTCCTTCCTGAAGCAAAGCAAGTATTCGCAGCAGTCATAGAAAGAATGGCCGATTCTTAAGAAGAATACAAACAACCCATTGGCTACTTCTAAATTTTAAAATCTATGCACCATTGCAGTATCGGGTTGCAGAAAAAATTTCTTTGCAAGTGCAAAAACTCTTAGCAATTACAGGAGAAAATCTCATTGGCTTGCAAGGAAAAAGAAAAATTGGTTGTTTTCCGATTGTCAGACATTAGAACAACGCAAGTGAAGATCTACATGACTACTCAACATTTCCATACATGCTTTCCCATTGTCATACATGGCATAAAAGGAAGTAAATTAGATTTGGTATTACTTACGTTTCAAAAGATTTAAGAAGGCTCGGCTAAATTTCAGAGCATATGGCAATTCAGGTTTATTCACACTGCCCAGTTGCAATAAATGCTGTTCCACTGGAGCACTGGAGAGTTCAATCACCTCATTATCATCAACTCCACTTCCGAGTGCTAAGGTGAGCAGGGTGAAACCTTGGCATTTGGCTTCAAGTGACATTTGTCTCAGTTTCTCTCTGTCCCAGGAGCTTGTCTTGCTCCCAAGTATTGTAAATATGACCCTGTGTTTTCTGGGCCTGGGAGCTTCCAAAAATATGTTATTGATTGCCCACTGTAAAGCATGACCTATGGCTGATGGACCTTCCATCTGTTTTAGTGACTCATGGATGTGCATTTTCATCAGGTTTTTATTGTTGTATGTAATTAAGTCAAACTCGTCATAGACTGGGCTTGAGGGTCCATCAACTGTGAAATTCCTTGGAGCTTGTTGTAACAATGCTACCCTTGCCCCTCTATCTGACTCCACGGGGAGGGAAGAAACAACAAAAGAATCCAACATGTTGCTCACAAATTCTTTCATTGTCTCAAACTTTTCGCTTCCAACATTCCAGGAACTGTCCATGATGTAAGTTATATCCATGTCTATTAGAACAGGAACAGGAGCAGTAACTTCACATTCAGGTGCTGGGTTGCACTTATCTGTAGAAGAAGCATTAGGGAGTCATTATGAACTCCATGGAGTTTGTAGCGGAACCCAAGAGATGACGTCATTCCTGCATGTCAATCAGAAGATAGAGCAGGAGGGGCGGAGTCAGAATGACAGTTAAGACAGCTGGAAGAGACAGTTAGAAGAGGAGATGGAATGAGATAGAGATAGAAGTAGGGACAAGAAGATGTGGAGAGAGTGCTAGGGTTTAGGAATAGCTAAAAAGGGGTTAAGAAAGAAAGTTGAAAGAGTAAAACATATTGAGCAAGCAGGAATGAACTCATAAGCATAATATAAGAAATACCAGTGATTGAATACATGATTTGTGATACATGAACACCTGAAACAGTTATATATGATTCTCCTGATGATCTGTTCATTAATAAAAGAATGCTTAATCGAAAACCCCTGATTCCTAAGTTATATGATCAGCTCCTATATGTGTGTGGGACCTGAATTGGTATTAAGAGAATACCTGGTGGCAGTGAAAAGGGCGTGTTTACCTTTGTGGAGCCCAGAGAAATAAGGGACCACAAGGGGGATTGCCACAGAGTTAATGACTAAAGAGATGAATGTACACACACTGTAACATTTGCTTAATTTTTTAAACACATTATATTTCTACACAGTTTCTAACAAATGGCTTGGAACTGCTTCCTGTTTGACACAAAGGCCTAACAGAAGAAGCCTAAACATCTTCATAGTACACATTTATATCACTTTAAAAATGTAGACAACTTTACAGCCCTTCTGCAAATATAAACACAGAGGGGGAGGAAACCTAGTGTACCATCGGCTAATGTTTGTGAAATGACTAAAATGAAGGATGCAATGTTTAGTCAATTACAGAACAATCTTCTGTATGTTTACTAGGAAGGACAATCCATTCGGTTTGCTATAGCATACTTCGAAGTTAGTTGTGTACAACTGTCCAGTCTTGATCAATTAGTTTTAGTTGCTTGACTGTCCAATGCTTTTCAATGAGAGAGAAAAAAATTCACCAAAAATTAACAAAGACTCAGAACAACACCAAATTAAGTTTGCATACATTACACAAGGTGGACTAACGATTGCAAGCATTTAAAACAGGTTTCAAACATTTTAAGGCACTTTTACATGAGCGAAAACGGACATTGTTAAGTGAAAATCCCCCATAGAGAACATCGTTAAACAATGCGGAAAATTCCTCAAAGAAACCCATCGGTAAGCAAATTCTTCGTTAAGTGCGGCAATCGTTAAGGGAGGCACCACTGTATTAGCTGCCATCTTGACCTGAAGGTCCCACAGTATAAACTATGTTGCCTTTTCTATTGGGTATAACCAAAACACCACTAAGAATATTTGATGACTGCTAAATGCCTGATCAATCAATGAACAAATTAATCCCATGAATGTGGATTGTTGTGGAACATGTTTATATGGGTAAGTGTATGTGTTATAGATAGAGGGGTAACATACAGAGCTGAAGAGATAATGAATTGAACAAGCTTACCATAGCAGAGTGCACAATGTGAAACAGCATCAAAATTCTCTTCCTCCTTGGATTCCCAAACAAACAACTGAAACTGATGAGTATCATCTGTCTAATTAAATACAAATATTTAAATTAAATACAAAGCCATGTTTAGATTAAACAGGAGGAAATGCATTCAAATTATAACTTGTGGATGATTTTTAGTTACAATATTTTAAATATTTACGTAGTTTTAATATTTAAATTTTAAAAGCACATATATAATCAATTAGCAAAACCAGTTCATTACATACCCTACTGCAAACCCAGAACAGCTTACTTTGGGATTTTTTACAAGTCACTGTTGTTGGGAATATGGCCAGTGATAACTTTCTGCTTACTAATGAGTCAGATGTCTTCACTACAACAGAATCCTGCCACCACTCATTTACAGTATCACCAGCAGAGCTCTTCTTAGTGGAAAACATGTCAATCTTGTCCTAACCCCTCCACCAACTAACATGAAGCTGGAATAGCGCTTCAAGTGTGACTAACTTGAGGGTGATATAAGGCATAACAGTTGTCCTCTTGTTAGAAGAAGAAAACAAGTTAGTATTTCAGCAGTATAAAACTCTTCCATCAATCAGGATGCAGATTAACCCAGCATTTAATTTTTGATAACCAATCACAAAACACAACACACTAACTGTGGGAGATCAAGAAAATTCATGGAATTCTTAAACACCTATGAAATTGCCTCTTCTTAGAAGAAACCCTCTGTGACATCTACTTTGACCTTCAACCTCTATCTAACTCTCACTTTTTTTGCCAAAATAACTTAACGGCTTCTCTGGTCTTTAGACACAGTCAAATTTAAATATTTATTTTATTTTATTAGATTTCTACCCTGCCCATCTAGACCAAAGGTCTACTCTGGACGGCATTACAAATTTAAAAACAGTCAGACCAATAAACATATACATAAATCCAAGATGTCAAAAATATAGAGTTTAAGATACAGCAAGAGGAAAAGCCTGCCCAAATAATGACAGGTTACCTACCTGTAATTGTAGTTCTTTGTGTGGATCTCTGTGATTCACACTATGGGTAATCCACGCATGCGCGGAGCCTCATTGGAATATTCTAGAGCTTCTGCGGTAGCAAAGGAAAATATATTAGCATAGACCCCTCCCCCCGGTATATGTACCTTGGTGCCAAGGCTCTCCCTTCAGTTAGGTCATCTGCTGCATAAAGAAAAGGGTGTGACACTGGGGAGGCCAGGTCAGGACGTGTGAATCACAGAGGTCCACTCAAAGAACTACAATTACAGGTAGGTCCCCTGTCATTCTTCGTGGCCTCTGTGAATCTCACTATGGGTGACTAAAAAGCTACTGTATCCAGTGGAGGGTGTCATACCAAGGTAGATGATAACACAGTGTGCCCAAAAGCAGCATCAGATTACTGCCGAACGTCCAGTCTGTAGTGATTGATAAACATGGAGGGCTGTGACTATGTGGCAGAGGCGCAGATGTCTGGTATGGAGACAACCTGAAGAAACGCCGTAGATGTTGCCAATGCCCTAGAATGAGGGCGGATAATCTGTGGCGCCAGAACTCGAGCAAGCTGATAAGCAAGCTGGATGGTAGACACAACCCAGTTAGATATTTTCTGTGAGGTAACTTGAAGACTCTTGGCAGGAAGTTGGTAGCTGACAAAAAGTCTAGCTGAGCATCTGAAGGATTGAGCACGGGCTATGTAAAAAGCCAGAGCCTGTCTTGCATCCAGAGTATGGAGGATCTTTTTTATGAGTAGAAGGAAATGGGGAAAAAAAAGAACCAAAGGTTGAGATAGGTGGAACTGGGAGACAACTTTGTGTAAAAAAGAAATACTGTATCTACAAAAAGTTTAACCTTATCTGGGTAAAACTGGAGACAAGGGTAGTCAGACCTTAAGGCTGCAAGTTCACTAGGATGTCAAGCTGACATGATAGCCACAATAAATATCATTTTGAAGGTAACCTGAGGTCAGTTGACACCAGGGGCCCAAACGGGGCCCTTCTAAGTTGTTTGTGGTGTTCACCCTTGTGACCGCTGCTTATTTTGCCCTCACAAAGGCTCACGTCATTTTATCTTCTCACTGTGGCGTTCACCCAGTGCCCCTATTTAATCTCCCTTAAACATAGGTTCACCTTCTGGATATGTTTCCACTTTACAAGCTGCCACCAGGTATTATTCACCTAATACCAAGTATGCATTTCAGACACGTGTGCTGCCAAGTATAACAGGTTTATTGAAGTTTTGAGTTTGAGAATCAGAGGTTTAAATTACAGATGTTCTTTTATTGGCATGTAAATCACAATGGGTAAATCACAGGTTTTGAGTGGAGTGCCAACATGCAAGCTGGGAGGCGAGTTCTGGAGTGACTCGCAGCAACATATGTGGTGAGTCTGTTAATGGGTTGAAGAAGACTAGGAACTATGCCTAGAGTTATCTTATTTTGAGGCGAAACATGCTGAACCACAGCAGTCATGGATACCACAGTGTCTAAAACACGTTGTACTGTTAAAGCAGATACAAGTGCATGAGTAATGAAGGCAATTAGTAAGGAGATTAGACTGAGGCGTTTGTCTGTTGGAAGAAACGCCCAAGCATGTTTGGAGTCTATAATTGCTCCTAAGTAATGAACCAGCCTTGTGGGTTTTAGCTTGTATTTATATAGATTTACTGCAAGGCCAAGATCCTGGAGAAGAGACAAAATGAAGCGAATGTCTCATTGTGCTTTGTAGTAGGAGCATGCTACCAGCAGCCAGTCATCGACGTACGGGGAGATGTGAATTTTGTGAAGTTTGAGGTAAGCTGCCACAGGGGCCATGCATTTGGTGAATACTCAGGGAGCTATTGTGAGTCTGAATGGAAGTCTTTTGAATTGGTAAGCCTGAGTTCCGAGTTGGAAGCATAAGTAGGGCCTGTGAGACCTGTCTTTTCTGCGGAGTAAGGGGAGGACAGATTGAAGGGTAACCATGTGGATCTTGGTGGTATTGATGTATTGATTTAGCTCCCTGAGGTTGATGATGGGGCGAAGGCCTCCATCTTTTTTGGTTAAATAGTGAGAGAAAAACCTATGGCTGTGTGTTGTAGTGGTATTGGTTCTATGGCATCTTTGTGTAGTGACGACTATATTTCTTTTTGTAGATTTTGCGACGGAGATGTGATGGTGGAGGAAGCTGGTGGAACTCGATGAGGTACCCGTTTCTTATGATGTAGTGATGTCTTTCCATGTAGGTAAGTGCTTCCAAAGGGGAGGAGGAGAGGTGGTAGGTAGAAGGTGGTATTGGGATCTTGGCTGTTTGGGTGTCAAACATGATGCTTAGGCTTAAGATCATTGCGTGCAGTTGTGGTTTGTTGATGAGATTTGCCGAGGCAAGGTTGTTGTTTGTAGTAAGGCATGTAAGATGTTTGTCTTTGAGGTTCTTGTTGAAATTTTTGATAGGAGGTGTAAAGGCTGCACCACTGATTGCACTGAGGGCATTGCTGGTATGTGGGGTAGACTCCCAAACACCTGGCAGCTGTCCTCTTTTTCTGAACATTCTCAAGAACGTCATCAGTCTCAGCATTGAAGAGACCAACTCTATCGAATGCAAGATCTTTAATGCGCTCATGCGCATCCTTGGCTAGACCCGTGGTTCTAGGTCAAGAGAAATGTCAAAGCGCTGCAGAGGTAGCCATTGATTTAGGTGTAGCATCAACTGTGTGTCTAGCAGATAGCATCTCTCGCTTCACCACTGAAAGACCCTCTTGTTGAAAAGTTTGTGCTAAGACCCTTTTACGTTCAGGAAGAGCATCAATAAAGGTAGAAATATTGTCCAGAGAAAATGTTGGTAGGTGCCCATAGCTCCATGATAGTTGGCAAGTCTCATGGTGAAGGTGGCAGAAGAGTATAGCCATCTGCCCATGGAGCCAATGCGCCTGCTGTCTATTTGGTGGTATTATTATTTGCCTGTGTCGAAAGCAAGATGGTGAAGCTTTGATGAATATGGAATTCGGAGCTGGTTGTTTCTGTAAAAGACTGTGCCCCGATCATGCACTCGATAAAGGTTGGCTATACATTTTGACACTGATGATGCTGGTTTGGTCGAAGAATGTCTAGCTGTGCTCAGGAGAGAAGGGAGCATGGAGATATGGACCGGTTTGATAGTATCTTTAGAGATGGGACCATAAAGATGATATGCTGCTCCAGTAATGGGTCTATGGGATTTGTAGGCCGGAGTATTTGGCCATACAAATCATTAGTTGAGTATAGGTTTGAAAATCCTCTACTGGTGATGGAGGATCTGTGTCTGCCAGGTCAGAATCTGGCGATGTTAAAAGTCCTGATGGTGTTTGAGGCCTGGAACCATGATCAGATGGATCGGCATCATGCGTCGAGTCAGTCAACTATCAATCAATACTGACATCGAGCGGCTGGTCCTCAAAATATTGGAGTCGACATTGAGCTGTTGATGTCGAAGGGGTGCCGGTGGACAGTGGTCAATATTGAGGGTCATCAATCGGTATGGACATCGAAGGTGCATCCATGGACAGGGGTCGATAGCGAGGGTCTTTGACTCCTGCCGAGATGGAAGGTGCATCCATGGACAGCGTTCGATATCGAGGATCGTCAATATTGAAAGGGTCGGTATCGAGGTGTGTCGAAATGGAGGTAGCTGTCGGTGTCGAGAGAGCTGTCGAGGTGGTAAAGGCATCGATGGACCACATTGTATTATGGTGGTATAGACAGACGGCGGTGGGATGAGCGCTCATGGTCCTCCTAATGGAGAGGAAAATAGTAACTTGCTGGTGCTGCAACCTGCCCCGGAGCTGAGGAGTATTGATCGACTTGGTTGGGGCTCTTAGGTGCTGGCAGATAGGAGGTGCCAGGTAGTCCTGGGCGATCATGGTAATAAGATTGTTTCAGCACCAAAGGCTCTCTATCAGAAACATCCTGCAGGGGCAGAGCCACTGGACCAGGAAGAGTGACTGGCCGATAGTGCTTGGCGGGCTTCTCCGTTAGGTACCGATTGGGGCAAACGGCATCCCAATGATGGTGCTGAGTGTTATCTCTTTCCCTGCGAGAAGGCAAGCGGGTGCTCTTATAGGCTTGATGCCTTTGTTGATGTGCCAGAGGCCAAGGTGGTAGGCCTACAGGGGCACAGTAAGGCATCGTTTCTGGCTGCGTTTAGCGCCATGGATGTCTGACAAGGCAATTTGTGAAGACTCACTCAGAGAGCCCGAGGATTGTCGCGGGCTATCAGGGGAAGCCATGAGTCGATCAACATGCTGTTCCCATTCAGGAGACTGTGACAATGAGGTTGATGAGGTGGAAGTGCCTCCTCATCTGAAAGAGAACTGACGTAGATGAGGTTTCTAGACTCCGGAGATTGTGGAGTCAGGGGAACGGTTTTGGAAAGCTTCAATTTAGAAGACTTAGTCTTCTTTGGAGGTGATGGTTTTGGTGCTGAGGAAGCATCCATGGACGGTTTTCTCTTAGAGGCTGTTTTCGATGTTGAGGGTTTCAACATCAAATGTTTGGCTTTGTGCACTAACGTGACTGTTGATATCAAGGGCAGAGTAGGTTATCGATTGGAACGAGATGGAGTAGCTGATGGGTGCTGGTTTGTCGCTTCAGAAACAGCTTTCATCCATGGCTTTAGGGACTGCTTCCAGAGCTGAAGCTTGAGTCTAGAGAGGTGACTGCGGAGAACTCCATGTTTAAATTTTTTGCAGTGAGGGGACAAGGAAGTTTGATGGCTTCACCAAGGGAAAAAAAGGCATTTAGGGAGGCCGTCAGAGAGCGGGGTCTCATTATTGCAGGCTACACAGCTTTTAAATGGGCCTGAAAAGGCCATGAACCAAGAACCAGTCTTGAAAATAAAACAACGGAAAGGTGTGGGGGGATGCTTTGGCCCTAAGGCTGGAGCGTATCTTGTTTTGAAAATAATAAGGATAATATTAATAAATAAAGTTCAGTAACTTTCCAACTTTTTTTTCAGATTTCTCACAGAGGTTCTCAAGAAAGAAACTGAAGGGAGAGCCTTGGCACCAAGGTACATATACTAGGGGGGAGGGGTCTATGCCAATGTATTTTCCTTTGCTACCACAGAAGCAGCTCTAGTTATTCCGACGAGGCTCCGCGCATGCGCAGATTACCCATAGTCTGATTCACAGAGGCCACAAAGAAGAAGCAGATCTTAACTTTACTCCTGAAGACACCCAGAGAGGGAGCCAGGCTCAATATTGTTGTAGTAGGGTAAGAAAACCTTTTCCATGGAAAATATGATCAAAAGGTCAGCCAAGGACACATCATATATTGTTCACAGTGGAAACTGATAAAAGAAAAGACTTCAAAGCAAATAACCTTTCTTCCCCTGTGGCCAAATAACAGTACTCCCTCTAAAGTTGGTTGGACATCTTTTAATCAGTTTTGATATTTTAAAGCCATTTTCAATGCATTTGCATTATTATTTCCTGTATTGCCCTTTCTCAAGTTTGCAACTTGTGAAACTAAGACGATTAAAACTTTGCCAATAAATCAGAGCAAAATATGTGACTCTGCAAAAGTCATTATTTTGTTCAACTGGGAGTCAAGCATATGCTTCCACTCTCAAGAATGCATGAGACAACAATTAAAAGAAACTGATCTTGTCAAGAGGGAGTTAGGCATCACCATCTTAGAACTACAGAGCTGGAAGGAACCCAGCAGAATGTTGAGTCCAGACCCTGTCTAGCCACCACAGTGGGGAACTGAACTCCCCTCTGGCTCTGCATCCAGATACCTATACCACTGAGCTATGCCCGTTCGTTTATCCCATTGATTGAAGCATGTTTCCATACAGAAAATAAGCAATGCTAGTAGTTAGAGATAAGTGACGGCCAGATCTGTTGCTTTCTGCCAGATAAATTTTTAGGGATGAAAAGTGATGGGGAGCCCTAGTTTCATGAGGTATTGAGTATATATTTTTGCACAACATTTCCAAAGAGATTAATTCTGCTTCTGCTGCTACATGCCTATAAAGAATTGGATCATACTAGAGACTTCACTATGTTTCTTTCTAGCACAAATACAAATTAATAACAGGCAATGAATTAATACAATAATCATTTGCCCCAATATCTGTTTGAAATCAACTCACGATCTTCAACACACTACAAAACAAGGTTACTAAACTATATTATAGTGGCTAATCTAATTCAGTAGTGACTAAATGGATATTCTCTTTAAGAAACAAAATTGCAGCCTGAGTCCGGGTCCCAGACTCCATGACCTATGACGTTGCTCTGAACTGAAGCAGAAAAACTGGCACCCTTTGTGTAGTTGGAATGCAATTTCTACCAACGCCCATCAGCTCGCCCAATCATCTGGGAGGAATGGTAGGAACTGAAATAAAATTTCAAAACCTGATGTTTCAGAATTTGGATTATGTGACTGAAATCCAACTGCCGCATCTGAGATTTTTCTTCTGAATTGTTAAAATCTGAAGCTTTTTTCTTTAGTTTCTATCACCCAATCAGAGTGATGGCTTGTTAAACAAAGTAATACAATTTGGATGTTTACCAAATGCTATTGCAAATTGGCAGCTAGACACTGTTAAATAATTACTGGTATGTCTGCTGTTACTCAGTGTTGACAGCTACTAAAATGAGCATAAATTCTGATATTCAGGATAAAATACTTGCTGAGAACTGACACCAGAAATAGCAACATGGACAAATTACATTGCATAACTCACCACAGAGAACAGCTGCTAACAAGGCACCAGTTGTGTTACTAGGTGTGTACATGTTGCAGAATTGCATGAAGGTATCCTAAAAGATTCGGACTCTGATACCAGCATTAAAAGGCTAACAATGGGCCCTCCTCAGACTTGTGGCCATCAGAAAACAGATATCTCTGCTGATCTCTGAGGGAAAGCCCCTGAGCATCACTTCCTCCTTGACATTTAATTTAGAGCACTGAATTTAATCCATCCCACACCCCACAATCCTCGCTATACGGGGCACCAGTGTAATACAATTTGGATGTTTACCAAATGCTATTGCAAATTGGCAGCTAGACACTGTTAAATAATTACTGGTATGTCTGCTGTTACTCAGTGTTGACAGCTACTAAAATGAGCATAAATTCTGATATTCAGGATAAAATACTTGCTCAGAACTGACACCAGAAATAGCAACAGAGAATCTGGAGGGGCAAATACAGAGCAGATGTAACTGAGACTTCTGACAAATTAGCCAAGAAACACTCTAATCAAGAAGCAGCTTTTATCTTCAATTATTTAAGTTTGTATATGTGATTATCTATTGAGTGGTAGCACTAAATTACATTTGTCCCTTATTTTCAGCTGAAGAGTTCAGAGTTTAGCACTGGATGAAACTATTCATCAGAAATTCTGTCAGTGTTTGATGTGTGCCTAAGTTAAAGTTCAACTCTTATTGCAGCAAATCGCCACAAACTAGGCACTGGATCTTTTAGGATACCTTCATGCAATTCTGCAACATGTACACACCTAGTAACACAACTGGTGCCTTGTTAGCAGCTGTTCTCTGTGGTGAGTTATGCAATGTAATTTGTCCATGTGTAAATCACTGACAGGATTCTGGCCATCATATAGATGAAACTACTGTGTTACAGTTGTGTAACATGTTTGTATAATACCTAATACAGTCATATCTCGGAACAATCCCTTCCAGTTAGCATAACTGAGACCTACTTCTCATAAAGTGGAAGTATGTTGGTGCTCACATGACTAAATATTGTATATCTCCATACACCTGGAAAAATAGTTCTCGAGAAAATATATATCAATTTAGAGAGGACCAATCAGATGTCAGTGAGCCCTTGTCTGGTGCTGCTGCCATTCTTGCCATCCCTATAGGAGTGTTCAGCAGGCACTGTTGCTGCTTTCTGCCAGTTTCACCAGTCATTGAGCTCAATCTTTCCCTCTGGATGCACTTCCTTAGCTGACATGGTTGCAATGAGAGAAGCCAAACCACTGCTTGCTTCTATTCTTAAAAAGGCAGCCACAAGATGGGGAAAAAAGCAATGTCTGATGTCAATAGCAAGCAGCTCAAAGCCAAACAGCAACTTAGAGCCTGTTTGCCAAAATCCTATTGTGATTTTATGAGCACACAAAAATAACCATGCCATGGCTAACTGGCAATGGGCCAGTCATTTGTTGGTTATAAGCCTGATTATGCACTTGGCATCTCATTCATTAGCTGTAGCAGCTTACATTCTTATTTTTAAAATCCAAATTGTAGACCAGGTTCCTAGGGCAAAGGGATTTGCCAGGCTCAGGGAACTTGCTTTTTTAGACTACAATCCCAGAATCTTCCCAGCATCTGGGAAATTCTGGAAGTTTTATTCCTCCAAAAAATTTTTTTCCAATCTCAGAGAAATAAGAAAATAGGACTCTGATACCAGCATTAAAAGGCTAACAATGGGCCCTCCTCAGACTTGTGGCCATCAGAAAACAGATATCTCTGCTGGTCTCTGAGGGAAAGCCCCTGAGCATCACTTCCTCCTTGACATTTAATTTAGAGCACTGAATTTTATCCATCCCACACCCCACAATCACTTATGAGAATCAGGCCAAAGAAGCGAAGAACACAGCATATATAAAGAGTTAATCCCATTGAACTCTGCTGTCTCCATGATGATGACTTTCTTCTAGTGACAGCCTGCTTACCGAAAAAGCTTGTTGCACATTAGGCACTTCACGGAGAGCAATGACCACAGGTGTGATGTCTAAAGCACTGAATTCCAAGACAGCTGTACTGATCGAAGTTGCATCCTGCGAGGGGCCAGCAGTGAGAAATACTGCAACTTTCCTCATCAAGGCACCTTGACGATGATGTTTAAAGACATTTCTGGCAATAAATCTCATGACCGCTCCAATATTTCGTTGGTCTGAAGACCTTTCCCAAGGAATTTTCTGAACTGCCTCCATAAGTTGGTCATTCCTTTGGAAGTCAGAAAACCGAATGAGGTATTTTGGATATGTGTTGTATGAAAGAATCGACACCCGTGCACCAGTTGGACAGTTGCTCCTGCTAATCTTCATACGCTTCAGCAAGGACATCATAATTTCTTTCATCCTTTGAAATGATTCTGAGGTAACATCTTCAGACATATCAAGGGCAAACACCACTTCAGTCGGATATGCTGGACATTTACTCGTACCTAGTTATAAAGGGAAAAAGTTCTCAGAAGACTACCAGTACTTAGATATTGTGATCTTTTACTATCTTCTAAAATAGAAACAGAATCTACTTACCTATACAGCAGGCTAGAGGGGATAAAAGAAAGTTCTTTTAATTTCAATGATAATCTCTGGTTTATACTCATTGAGATACCATTTCCATAATGTACCAACACATACACAGATAAAACATGCACTGAGCATACAGCTTGCCTCTGTAACTGGCAAAAATTTCACTTTTGACTCAGGACAAAACATAAAACCAGTAGCAGAAAAAGTAAAGTCACATGGCTAACTTTTAGGCCAAAGGGTTCTGGGTTGAGATTTTAATACAGCTGTGAAACTAATGAACTACCTGGAGAAATTTGCTATTGTTGAGGCTTATTTATGAAACAACAGCTGAAATCCTGTTGCACAGCTCCACATGCATAATTGGGGTGATGTAATACTTAGCGGCAAATCACTCCTGGTTAAAGGCTTCCTGGTCTTTGTTGTGTAGTGTATGAGTCATGTATACCTTGAAGTAACTTCTAATCAGCAATGGTTTTCCTTTAATCAGAAACAATTTGCCACTGCTGATGACATCATCCCCATTACACATGGGGAGCTGCACAACAAGATTTCAGCTAATATACAGTCTTTCTCATAGGTGAATGTAAAGCATGATAACGCATCTCTATATTGAAGACACTGGGAGAATGTGACTGGCTTGAGACAGATCCTAGAGCAGAGGCAATATCTGAGGATCCCACTTGTCTTTTTGCCCTCTTCCATTTGCTCCACATCCAAGACCTCCAAAACTGTGAAAATAATTGTTTCACTCCTACCCGAAAAATGGCAAATCAAACCCCAACTAGCTCCTCAGTAGCTATGACTAATTTCAAGCAGGCCTCCTTTTTTTTTCTACCTATAAAAGGTGTGGGATGTATTAAAATGGCAAAGTGTGGTGCCTGAACATTCTAGGCATACATTTTGTTCTTTTTAAAGTTACTTTTTTTTTTAGTGGGGGACATCAGGGACCCTTGAGGTGGCACCTATGGCCATCAGACCACATTTTGGCCAGTCCTGTCCCAACAATAATGGAAAGAGGACTTAACTTAAAAAGCTACTTGATATGAAAATGTTTATTTAGTAATACCTTATACCTTAATTTAACTTCTTATTTCTACCTTCACTGGACAAGTTTATTTGCAGAAATAGTAGATGCACATTGAAAGAACAGACTAATTTAATCGGGAGAATTTAAAAAACAGAAGATAATTGATAGATATACAGACTGATATATTGATATAAAATAATTTCTTGATGCCATCATTTCTGTTTCAACAGCTTCTGAGCTTCATTTGGTTAAGACCAAGGATAAGGCCTTTTTGGCAACTGTGCCTAAGCGCTGCAAGTCCCTTCCAAGGGAGACCCATCTCACTTCATAACTCATAACCTTTTGGAACCTGGTGAGGACTTTCAGTGGGTAATGTTACTTGTTTCTTGTTTAGGATTTTAAAAACATATATTTAAATGAACTAACTGAAATCAGTCTGTGCCAGATCAAAATAATCAGCTTTTGAAGGAGATTTGCAAACTCTTTAAACCTGTCTTTAGTACTAAGAAGAGGTCATTACTTACGGCAATTTCCTCTTGTAAGATTAACAACTTCACAAGTCTGCAGATAAGAAAGAAATTAGTATGATTAATAGAATCATACACATGCCTGCTCAGAAATAAATTCTATTGAGTTCAATGGGATGCATGCTCAGTAACTGTATAGGATTGCAGGCTAAGAGCCTGAACTGATACCATGTGACGCTGTTGGCATTTAAACTGGTTATTGCAATTGTCTCAGTGGCACTGGCATCAGCTGTAACAATATAAGGTTCAGGTTCTCCATCTGAGTGCTCCACCTCTCCCATATTATTCCCATTTTTGGTCCAGAATCCTATTACTCATGCAAGCTGGCATAAATCCAATGGTGTACATTTCAGCATGAATCTCTGCTCATTGAGAAGCCAAATGCTGCATTCCTTGTTGTGCCCCAAGTCATGCAACTGGTATGTGACAAGAAATACAAGCATGAGTGTCCTAACTCGTACTAGTTCTATACTGTGATTTATGCTGTTTGACTTGTGCTGGTGTGGATGTATAATAGGATTCTGGCCTTTGATTATTTGTTGCCTTTTGTTTCAGTGATGACTTATCTGGAGTATCATAATAGATCACTGGTTCTTAACCTTGGGTTACTCAGGAGTTTTTGACTGCAACTCCCAGAAGCCTTCACCACCAACTGTCCTGACTGGGGTTTCTGGGAGTTGCAGTTCAAAAGCATCCAAGTAACAAAGGTTAAGAACCACTGTAATAGATAACCCAATCTATCTATATCTATTCCGTTTATTTACTGAATAATCAATCTCATGCATTGTTTGTATTGTAATGGCAGTTTTAAAAAAAGTAGTTGGCCACATACCGTCATGGTTGTTATGCCTTTCTGTCCTTTATGTCCCTGAAAAACAAAGTATAGAACATGGGAAGAGTTACACTGGATCAGCACAAAGAACTGTTTGGTCCACACTTTAAAGTGTGGTTTAGGTATCTGGCTGGGGATCCAGAGTTTGGAAGTTCAATTCCCCGTTGCACGTCCTGTGGATAGAGCCAGCCTGTGTGGGCTTGGGCAAGCTGCATAGTTCCAGGGTACCCCCAGAATGGGGAACCACTTCTGAGTATTCTCTACCTGGAAAACCCTGAAAAGGGTTACCATAAGTCAGAATTGACTTGATAGGTTGTTCTTGTTGCAGCTGCTGCACAGTTACCAGTCAGAAGCTTCTGGAAAGCCTATGAGCAGAACAGGAGCACAAGAGCACTCATCCATTCATCTGTCCTTGTACATCAAGAAGCTTACTGTTTCTCATGCAAGTCAAAAATGCTTATCATAATAGTCACAGGTGACCTTTTCCTCCAAGAATTTGGCTGACCTTCAAGAATTCGTTTTATCTCCTTTTTAAAGCCATCCAGTCTGGCAGATATCTCAATAGTTTAATAATGAGCCCAGAGAAGACGGGGCTTTTACTCATCCTGAATGTTTGACCATCCCACTTCAGCGAATGATTCCACTTTCTAACAGAGGGAGAAAAAAATTTCCCTGTCCTCATTTTGTACACAAGTCATTCTCAATGGGGGCCATAAGCCCCCCCCCAGGGGGACCTGGGCACATTTGAAGGAGGACACAGACTGGAAACAGTTCTTTACACAAGATCTTATAAGGTTTGTTTTGCGACTTATACAATGCTGATTCATTCCTATATTTCTTTCATGCTGTTTTTTATGGCTGTGGCCAAAAATGGTTGAGAACGGGTGTTCTACACCACTGGTTCTTAACCTTTGTTACTCAGATGTTTTTGGACTGCAACTCCCAGAAGCCTTCACCTTCAGCTCTGCTGGCTGGGGTTTCTGGGAGTTGCAGTTCAAAAACACCTGAGTAACAAAGGTTAAGAACCACTGTTCTACACCATGCATAACATTGATCATTCTCTTTCCCCTTATTTCTATTCTAAAAAGATCCCATATGGATTTTAAAGAAATAGGGTGGTAAGATTTAAGACACCAACGTTACTGATTTTCCAATAAAACTAGTTTTTATAGGTTTGCGAGGACTCAGGCTGTCAGCTGAAGTTACTATGTTGTCTTGGCTCTTCAGGTGGGGAGGAAAATATAAAGGGATGCATCATTGGAGGGGAACATTTTTGTTTCACATATAAGGTGTCTTTAATGCCTGGGAACCCACCTCCAGCCGTTCCGAGCTGGCAGCAGGGCTCCCTGACTCTGCACAGAAGTGTCTGCATGCGGGTCTTCGATACTGCTGATCAGACAACCTTTTGTTTGCAGTGTTTTCTCCCACAAAGCTATCACTTCACAGAAGAGAACATAGGCAACCTTTTTACTGCACATCCTTCCACATGTGCGATTGTACTCTCTTTACCACTTATGTAGAATAAGGCAGTCTATTTAACTCCCACAGATTAGAAAGTCACCTTTGGAGTAATTTGGTTCTGCATTTTTTCATAGTTTTATTCTGCATTTTTGAACAACTATCACTTGCTTGTTATTCAAGGTTATTCTTTCCCCAACCCCCCAATCCCCTCCCCGCAAGTTCTTTTTGATGCATTTCTATGTTCTTTCTAGCCTTGAAGAGGATACATAAGAACTGCTGGATAGCTCAGTGGTTTAAGTGCTTGCCTGCTGAGCCATAGGTTGGGTGTTCAATTCCCCATTGTGCATCCTTGACAGGGGCTGGACTCAATGATCCATTGGGTCCCTTCCAGATCTGCCGTTCTAAGATGGTGGTTATTATTATTATTTTTAGTATATATTGTCCCATTAACATACTTGATGGCTAGGTTTTGTTAATGCACGCCTGCTCAGTAAAACATAATTTGATTTTGTCTTTTCAAAATACAATATAACTTAATTTGACATTACCATTCTTCCAGGTGGTCCTCGGTCTCCTCGATTGCCTACTCCCCCTGGTCTTCCACCACTGGCCTTCAAAGTGCAAAGAGCTCATGAAAACTCAAATGACAATTTTACTTGCTTCAGGCATTATAGAAAATTACGAAGCTAGGTATTCATCAGTCGCAGATCAAGGCAATTGGATTCATGCTAAGTAAAGATACTGGATTATAGCTGAAGATCATGACCTTTCCCCCAAGACAGTCCTTCACAGCAGCAAGTCCCTTGAACAAATCTCATTGTCTCTGCTGACCAGATGTGCAGTGCTCTTAACTCTGACAGAGCAGATTATATATGACCTTATGATCACTTATGATCTCCTTGTGGTTGTTCCATGCACTGTCCACAAGAGACATGGGCGGTTCATGATTAGAGCAGGGAAATGCTCCCTGAAACTATGGGATGAGGCATCTCTCACATGGGGTCTATACAAGGCACAGTTGACAACACATGTACTGCACTGTGGTCAATGAGAGCCTCAACAGCTGCCACATTCCTACTTCCCTTCCAGGATACTTCTATATGCTTGGTACCAACCAATCCACAAGTGAAACCTTGGATATAGGTGACCAGCTTAAGTGACACAGAGACAATGCTATGTGCAAAACTGGGGGTGGGGGTGGGGGTCTTGTTGATAAGAAAAAATAAATCAATGCCATGAATGTTTATCTTTATCACCCTTTGTCCTCTAATTCCTTTGGCTCCTTTATTCCCTGGAGGGCCTGGGTTACCATCTTCTCCCTACAAAGAAATCAGAGTTTTGTAGTTAAGGGACATGTTTAGACATTAAGTGGGAATTCATAGAATAATAAAGTTGGAAGGGGCCTAGAAGGCCATCAAGTCCAACTGCCTGCTCAATGCAGGAATACAAATCAAAAGATATCTGCCAGGTGGCTGTCTAAATTTCTCTTGAATGCCTCCAGTGTTGGAGTACTCACCACCTCTTGAGGTAATTAATTCCATTGCTATGCGACTCTAACAGTTAGGAAGTTTTTCCTGATATTGAACCGAAAACTGGCTTCCTGTAACTTGAGGCCATTGTTATATCTCCTGCACTCTGGGATAACTGAGAAAAGATTCTGCCCCTCCACCTTATGACAGTCTTTCAAGTATTTGAGGAGTGCTATCATATCTCCCTCTGTCTTTTTTTCTCAAGGCTAAACATGCCCAGTTATTTCAGTCTTTCCTCATAAGGCTTGATTTCCAGTCCCCTTATCATCCTTGGTGCCCTCCTCTGAACTTGTTTCAATTTGTCAGCATCTTTCTTGAACTACAGCATCCAGAACTGGACACAGAACCCAAAATGATGCCTAACCAGTGCCAAATAGAGGGGAACTAGTACTTCGCGGGATTTAGAGACTTTACTTCTGTTCATGCATCGTAAAATAGCAATTGCCTTTTTTGTAGCCACATCACACTTTTGGCTCATATTCAACTTGTGATCTGCGATAATTCCAAGGTCCTTCTCACTCGAAGTATCCTCCATCTTGTAACTGTGCAATTGGTTTCTTTTTCCAAGGTGCAGTACTTTGCACTTATCCCTGTTGAATTTCATTTTGTTGATTTCAGTCCAGTTCTCAAACTGATCCAAATGATTTTGAATATCTGTGAATATCATTTTGAATTTTGTTTCTTGTGTTTCGAGTCCTTGCCTTTTTCTTTCTCAGGAAGGAGCTCCAAGGAACCTCAGCCTGGCTTGGGCACATATGCAGTGATTCTAACTCTCTGCCATCATGCCACAGCCTCAATCCAAATGGCTCCCTAAAGTTGTTTGCCTGTTTATAACTTAAAGCCAGGGCTGTAACCAGTGTGGAGTAACTGGGACGGAACCCTAAGGCATCAAAATCTAGAGGGCACCAAGAGCTAGTGGTGAATCTAGTGACAAATGTTAGGAAAATAAATGACAACTACACCTGGCCCTATTCTTTCTTCATTCCTGAAAGCATAAACTCTCCTTTTCTTTTTATGGGGTCATAACGTCTTTCTTGGGGGAGCTCACATCCCCATACCTTGGACCCTAGTACAAGGAGGGAGTTGGACCCTGCCGCTTGTGCAGCTTCCAAGTAATCCATGTCACTATGGAGAAGACAGTGTTTATTGCTCCCAAGTTCCAAAACTACTAATGCCTGTGCTCAAAGCTCACTTATTTTTATCCCCAAAGGTTGGATTGCTATAGTATTAGCCACAAATGGAGGCAGTGGAAAATTATTCACTTAATTTCAGATCAAAAGTTTCCCCCTGAACAGCTAACAGCAGCTCTGGGAGGTCAATTTGGATCAGGACCAGAGAGAGTCTTAGGCACCCTGCCATACTCAATCTGCATGTCTGGATTGACACTGAGGGTGCAACTATACAACGGGGAAAATACGCTTTGATCCCCTGAGTATTTGTAGTTAAGCAAACTGGGGTTTCCTGGGTGAATCACTGTAGCTGTCCAGATGACAGTTTTCAGGAGTAAGCAGGTCAGATGCAGAGAGCCCAGTTTGCATGGCACATCAATAACAGAAGTTGCCTCAAGGTGCTAACAAGGTGTTAATTTATAATTTACACACCTCTCTCCTCGTTCATTTGATTCTCCTACATGCCCTATAGGGTTTTTCAGCACTGAGTTGAAATCTTTTTTGTTTAAGAAACTGTGTGGAACCAAGGGATGGTCAGTTGAGGGGAAATGAACCCCCGCAAGTGCCCCTTTGCATCAAATTAGGTGATCCCACTGGCAGAATGCAGACAATAGTGATGTCAAAGGGATCAGAACAAATTTAAACCACCCCTGCCAATTTAACAAAAAAGAGAGACAATTTCCCACTCAAAGAGACAGTTTCAGAGCGGGTTTCCCTGCACTGAAGTTTATGTCATAGAATCACTGAGTTTTAATGTGAATTTAAATCAAATGTAAATTGTGGAGTCAATAGCCAATGCACTCACAACTCATATCAGAAGCATAGTTTACCCACTGTAGTACTTGTATACCTGTGGTCCAGGAATTCCTAGAAATCCATAATGTCCCTGGTGTTAAAAAACAGAAACAAAACATTGGTTTGACATTTTCATGCTGCCTGTTCACTGTGCAGTTTTAAAAAGCTGATGGTTTCTCTCTCTCTCTCTCTCTCTCTCTCTCTCTCTCTCTCTCTCTCTCTGTGTGTGTGTGTGTGTGTGTGTGTGTGTGTGTGTGTGTGTGTGTAACTGTTTTATGAAACACATTTGTAGGATTGGTATTGTTCTATCCAATTTTGAATCCCAGGATTTGAACATATAGATATTAAACAGCATTGGGGAGATCCACAATTAAGAGTCCAAGGGGTGGACATCATCTCCACAAGCCACACTTTCTGAAGACAGTCCTCTAGGAAGGACCAAAGCCAAGCCAAAACCAAGCTATGAATGGGAAGAAAGAGAGCCTCCCCAAGAGAATATTGTGGTTGATGGTAACAAAGATCACTGAGAGATTGAGGAGGAGGAGCAAGGACATTTTGCCCTGTTTATCTCCCTCAAAAGGTCATCTTGCAGGGCGACCAATGCAGTCTCCATACCATGATGCAGCCTGAACCCAGACTGGAATGGATCAAGGGCATCAGTTTCCTCCAGGAGTGCCTGTAGCTGGTTAGCCACCACTCTCTCCACTAGCTCGCTTAAAAAAGGCACACTGGTGACAGGTCTGTATTTGTTGATATCATCCTCTGCTAAATTAGGTTTTTTTTTTGGCGTATGAGTCTGATGAGGGCTCAGGGAAACCTGCTCTCAAGGAGAGATGTATTAATAATAACAGTGTCCCATTCCATTGTTACTGGCCTGGCAGCTTTTATGAGCCAGGCTGGGCAAGGATCTAGGGAGGTAGCATTGGTTCTGCAGCAATCAAGCACACTGTCGACTTTTACTGATGTCACAGCATGAACTTGTGTAAAAATTCACCAGACAAGGTGGTGCAGTGGACATCTCAGCTTGATCTACTGAAGGAAAATGGCAGTCAATCTACTGAAGGAAAATGAATTACTTGCAGCTTATGCTACTTGCAAGTAATCCATTTCCTTGTGTGGAAGCCATGGCAGTAGTTGGATGGAAAGAGGAAGTTTCTGATTACCAAAAATCACTGATGATACCAATGATATCACCGGGGCAGACTTTCAGTAATTAAAGACTTCCATCTTCTATATTGCAGCTCCCATGGCTTCCAGGAAATAAAATGGGTTAAACATGAGTCAGACAAGCCATAGAGAGAAAGGGAAAATCTTCAGTTACTCCAAACCTCCCCCTGCCAGTTACATTTATCATTTTGAGCATAAAAAGAGATGGCCATCTTGTATAATAGTTCTAGAAAGCTTATTTGCTGGTTCAGCAAAACCTTATTTTGGCATTATGTTCATATCATCCTGCCCTTACCACTGCACTCTCTGCCACCCCTTGCCCCATTGCCCATATGTTGGAGCAATGTCTGAAGAGCGAGTTCTATGCAAGGCATATCACATCATGGTTTAGAATTCTCCATGATCAGAGTTCAAAATCGGGGGGGCTTCACTTTTTCTGATCTTCCTCTAATGTGTGGATACTGGGCAGGGGAAGCATCATAACACTTAGTTATTACAAAGGGGTCTGGGGGCCAGGCTCCACCTCTGTTCCTCAACAGTGTTCTATAAGTACCCAGGACAGCCACTGGAAGGGCAGCAAGAACACAGGATAGCTCCCAGTGAGCAGAAACCAAGGTTTGAGGAGAGATGCGCTGAGACCTCCTATATTGCCTGTCCTCAGGATTACTCCCTCCAGGTTCCACCTCTCTTTTCTTCCAGAATGAAGCCTTAAAGGGCCAGCTTCCTAGCCATACGATGGATACTTAATCATTTCTAAAGGAGCTCCTGCTGGGCATACGGTTGGTATTGGCATACCTGCTCCCAGGACCAGGGAACTCCAGGAAGCAAACACCATGTCCTAGTACTAAAGTTAGGCCCTAGAGGTGCTAAATTTGTTGTAGGCATAAAGGCCTCAACATCAGGCAGCTGGATCACAACAGCTCTGGATCTCAGATATAGCTTGCTTAGCGTCAAGGATCACTGAGCCTCTCAGTCCACAGCTAGGCAGCTGCTGGATGCCTAGAGTGGTTGCAACGACCAGATAGGTGGGATATAAATAAATAAATATTACTGTGTTTCCCTGAAAATAAGACAGGGTCTTATATTAATTTTTGCTCCAAAAATGCATTAGGGCTTATTTTCAGGGTAAATAAATAAATAAATAAGCAAGCCTTGTGATTGACAACATGTATAAGCCCAAATGAGCTTATGTTCTTAGATACAGAATGCCAATGGATATTTCTGTATAATATGATAAAATGTGACATCATGGGGGCCTTACAGGGATCCTACTCTGACATTAAAGAGTGATAAAGGTACAAATAATTGGGCAGGGTTAGCACATTAGCAAAATGTATATTTCAGTTAGTATCATCAGGAAGCAGATCAAAGAAACAGTTGGATGATGTTTCCTGGAGTGAACGAACACAAGCCACCTGTCAAAGCATCTTTCCAAGTCTGGAAGAACTAAGTTCCAACAAAATGAGTCCATACACATTTCCCTCAGTGTTTTTTGGATGGGTGCTATGGTCTAAAAGACTCAGCTTAGTGTAGGCAACATTTTTCTATCTTCCCTTCCAATCATAACTACTTATCATACCTAGGAATTTTTCACTTTTCATTCTTTCCACAAAACGTTGTGCTAAAGCTGATTTTGGCACAGAATAAACTGAGAAGCAAAAATGCAGAGCTCTAAGAACAAAGTAAACTAGATGAATAAACTACTGCTGCTATAAACTGGATTTAAGTGCTCCATCCTACTGTAACCATGTATAATATTTATTGCTTGTGTATTACTCTATTACTCATTGTTACTTATTGTTTAATGATAGTAATTTATTAAATTATTATAACCACATGGAACACAATCCACCAGAATCTCTACATAAGCTTCAAAGAAATGAAAATAATATGTCCAGCTGCATTCTTACTTTCTTTTATGGACAAGAAATATTCTCAATAGCAGTGTAAGTAATATGACTACATAAAATTGTGTATACACCAAATCTCACACCTGAAAACTCTCACCTTTGCTCCTTTTCTTCCTTGTAGGCCATAGCCTTCTTTACCATCTAGTCCCTGCAAAGGATAGAAAAAACAACAACCAATTAACTGGGAGACTTCAGGCCAGCCTTCTAATGAATTCAGTTAAAGCAGTAATTGCAAGCGGACAATATTGGGTGTCGAAAAGGGAAGAAAATTGCCAGTTATTTCTTTTATTATTTTGTGTTTTTGTTTAGCCATTAAAGGAGAGGTAATTGTGAACATTTTGCCTCAGATGCTAAAATCACTTGATTGGCCTTAGGAAACAAGGTATCTTCAGTTCAAAATGGGGTATTTGCATGTCAGTCAGGGAAATGTTTTGCCAACCCTAACTGTAACCACATTTACTCACTTCCCTAAATGTCTAGCTTTTTTATTTATTTATTTATTTTTACCAAAAACAATCACTCCAGAGGGGCTGGTCACTCAATGTCATCACTACGTGACACTGAAATCTCAAATTAGAGAGTTGAAACGTCTTGGCTTGTAAACTTTACTATACTTTGAACACTACTATAGTTAGTAAAGTACCGTAAGTAAGGAGGATAAGGCTGTACACTGGAAGGCATATGTCAATCCATGAAGAAACAAGACTCACAAAGTCTAAAATTTTGTGGTTTTTTTTCACATTTTACCCACTGGCTCGAGGATCTACAAGAAAACCTAATGGCTCTCATTTTCAGCTGGCCATATTCAGAAAGCCAGTCTGTCTTCCCAAACAACTTGGGTCATTAGGATTTGAGTAAAAATAATCTGAGTTTTAGTGACAAAAACTGAAGTAGCTCAACCCAAGATAACTTGCAATAACTCATGCTGCAACCCATGGCTTTAGCACTGATCTAAACATTTTGGACTAAATCCAATGGTTAATCCAAACTAGCAGGTTAATTGTGGGATTAATGGGACTTGTTAATCAACATTTGGTCCAACTGTTACAGTGGATCTACTCTAGCTGGGACTAACAACTTGATTTAGCATCTGTACTGATGATTTCGAACATGGGAGGAGTCAACCAGTTTGGTTAACATCACTTCATCAAACAGATAAGGGGATCAGTCCACTGTGCTACCTTCAAAAATTTATTTTCTCCCTCCAACTCAAAATAAATTGGTCTGTCTTGCTGAGGACAGCCAAGAATGTATCTAAATACATTTAGAAGTCAATACACAAAGAAGGAATATAAACTGAAGCAGCTCTTGAATTCTACTCTGAAAGAAATTCCAGGGCAAAAATCAAGTACAAAGATAGACTCAGTATGGGAAAACTCACAGGGAAGCCTCTTGGTCCACGTGGCCCCTGTAGGCCTTTTTCTCCATGATCACCAGGTTCACCCTTTTAAGATATGAGAGAAAAGATTAGCTATTCAACACCATAAGCCAGTTATATCGATTCATTTTCTATAACCTAGTTTTCATTCAGTTTGTTCAACTCATATTGGAATAAAAATAAAAATAAACTAGATATCAGAGAGTAGAATTCAAGCGTCCTTCATACTGATAGATAGCTGATTATTTTTGAATGTTAACAATCCAAAGTTCAGCATGATCTAACATCTCCAAAATACAGTAATGAGACTTTAATGTTAAACTCTAGTAGTCATTGTTGCACTCTCTGCACTTCCACACACAACAACAGGAAGAGACATCCATACATGTCCACGAGAGGAGTAGCTCTAGACAGAGCCACTGCCTTGGAAAGGGCTTCTCTCATGCCCTCATCACTTTCAAATTCACTTCTGTAGCCAGACACTAAAGAAGCCATTGCTGAAAGTAGAAACTTAGTGGCACTCCTAGCTTACTCCCATATACTATTGTGCAGGCTGTGCATTTCCTGCCACACCCACCTTCTCCATGGGACATTCACTCAACTAAAACTAGTGGGCACCGTCCTCCATATGTAGTTTATTTCAAGAAATGCTCTTAGATATTTGCCTTTAGTGCACAACCAGCCCCTGACCTCAAAGCTACAATGATTTGTGTGGCTCTTCTCTCAAATATGCTGTAAAATGGATAACTTTCCCCACTCTGATAGTATTGAGATGTGTTACATCCACCACCACTAGCTAACAACTGTACTATAGCATTTGTAGTCCACCTGAGGAAAAGGTGAGGGATTGGGGGGGGGGATTAAAGTTACAAAAGGAGCAGTTCAGCCACCTCAAAAGTGCTACTAAGAGACCATAGTGATAATCCACATGTTATCTCTGCAAATCTCATTGTTTACTTTAAAACTAATTGTTTAACTAATCAATTAATAATACTAATTCAACAAATTCAACATTTTCAGTACTATTTTTTTTAAAAAAATCTCTCATTCCAAACATTTAACATTAACAAATTCATTTTCAAACTCAAAATTCAAAATGTAGCAGCAACTAGTGAAATTTCTATAAAACTGGAGAAACATATTCCAAAAGAGCTGATATTCTTCACTAAGTAAAAACAACAACTCACAATTATCTTTATTTTTTGCTAATACTAAACATATGAAGGCTATGTTCTACTTTTAAAAAATGCACTCAGAACATGTATCCACAAAGGGTCCTACTGATATCAGGCATGCTTACCTTTTGACCTGTACTTCCTAGTTTCCCTGGCGAGCCGGGTCTACCACTGATTCCTGGATTACCCTCCAATCAGAAACACAGATCAACAGTCACACTCAAGAAATAAAAACCAATTCCTGACTTCTATTCCATGTACAAAACTTGTTGGCAAAATCTGTGTTTCCTCTTACAGAACTAATCAGCTTTGTGACCACAGTTATCGTCGGCATCCAGTTAAAACTCCTCTTATGTTTTCTCTATAATCATATTCAGGTTTCCAGGTACCCTAAATCAGTGATTCTCAAACTTGGGTCCCCAGATGTTCTTGGACTGCAACTTCCAGAAATCCTGGCCAGCACAGCAAGTGGTGAAGGCTTCTGGGAACTGCAGTCCAAGAATGTCTGGGGACTCCAGTTTGAGAACCACTGTGGCTGGCCTAAAAGATATCTGTCGAATCATTATACAGGAATATGTAAACATAAATTCACTATCACTGGCACAGAAATAATTCATTTCTTTGCAAAATATTAGTTACTGTCACAATGTAAAGTGGCTAAAGTCTTCTATTTGAATGGCAGTCTATTCCAAACCTAATCCAAAGATTTAAAAAAACCCTAAGAAGAAATCTGTAAGGGCTTTGAAAGTGTCCACCAATAGAATCTGGATAGAAGACTTAACAGGAACACAGCTCACCTGGGATTAAATCTAAGTCCCAATAAGGAAGTCCCATGGAATCAATGGGACTCTGATAAGGCAACATTTAGCCTAAAAGATGTCTGTCGAATCATTATACAGGACTATATAAACATAAATTCACTATCACTGGCACGGAAATAATTCATTTCTTTGCAACATGTCAGTTACTGACACAATGTAAAGTGGCTACAGTCTTCTATTTGAATGGCAGTCTATTCGAAACCTAATCCGAAGATTTAAAAAACCCTAAGAAGAAATCTGTGAGGGCTTTGAAAGTGCCCACCAATAGGATCTGGACAGAAGACTTAACGGGGACACAGCTCAACTGGGATTAAATCTAAATCCCAATAAGGAAGTCCCATGAAATCAATGGGACTCTGATAAGGCAACATTTATTGGTTCGGTGGGCCTACTTCAGCTGAGGACCAGCAACTTGATGTAGCTATAGCTACACGCTTCTGTATGAATTATATTACATTTGTATTACATTTTCTAACATTTTTATCAATTCATATACAGTAAATCCATATTTGAAAATTACATGCATATCTGTGTCCTTTTTTGTTCTCTTTTTGCGTGATACATTTCCATCCTTCTTCTCTGAAAGCAACAATAGACACCGTACCCATGGAAGAATCAAGACAAACAAACAAACAAACAACACAAAATTTGTAAGTTTTATTCCTTGGGACTTATCCAGAAGGTGAAATGTTAGAAGAGATACTGTTTTCAAAGATTTTTTTAAATCTGCGACTAAACATGAGGAAGGAATGACTGGTGGGGACTATTGGAAGCAGACTTCCAGACTCAAAAGCCTAAGAAAAACTTGTCTGAAGAGAAAGCTCTTTGTCTGCTGGCTAGTTTTGCATGAAAGGGAGTTCCACACCCTGGCTGCAGTCTTTGAAAAGGCCTTCCTCTTATGCCCTCACCAAATGGTTTTGGGAGGGCGATGGAACTGAGACAGGGGCCTGCCCTGAAGGTCTTATAACCAGGCAAGGCTCACATGGGAAATATATTTATGACATTTAGACAGGATAAGCATTGAGAGACTATGCTTTTTTTTACTTGCCCCTTCTTCACGTGGCAAATTAATTGCCATTCTCCAGACTATGAAATGCTTAGCAGAAGGTGGTGTCTCACATGCAAGAAGCCCACAAACATCCACTGATGTGGTACAAAATTTCTGGAGGGAGGATATGTATGGGAAAGGATGTAAACTTACTATTTTTCTTTTACGATATGCTAAATGTAAACATTAACACCAGGAATGCAAACAATTAAATAACAATCAGCCAGAATCCTATTGGATAGTTACTTCATAAGTGCAATCGTAACAGTTGCCATAGCTTATTGCAGCAAATTAATGGGGTGGTGGGTCTGTATAAGATATGTGCCAGGTGTTCAAGTGGATGTGTAATATGGTGCTTGACTGACATATGATCAGCACCTCATAAAGTAGCAGCTTCCACAGTTACACACCCATGTAAATAGTGAATACAATTCTATCCGTTGTGGATTAAAAACAAGTGAATGTGACAGTGTGGGGATGAGGAAATACTATTTTCTGTGAATAAGATATTCACAGAGGGGATTTTACAGTGAAAGGGTGATAGGGTTTTTTGTTTGTTTGTTTGTTTGTTTGTTTTAGTGAAATATTCATTCATTCATTCATTCATTTAATTTTTATACTGCCTATCTGACTGCCAGGGACCCTCTGGGTGGTTCACAACATAATAGACAACAATAACACATTAAAATAAATAACAACTACAAAACTATAATAACAATATATATCAGTCAATTAAACTAAAAAGAAAGACAATTAAATAAAGACAATTAATAAAAACAAGATAGCAGAAATACAGAATAAGCGCTGGGTAAAAACTGAAATCCAGTAATAAAGTGTATATGATATGTGCCAGTGGATGTGTAACATGGTGCTTGACTGACGTATGACCAGCACCTCATAAAGTAGCAGCTTCCACAGTTCCACACCCATGTAAATAGCAAATACAATTCTATCCGTTGTGGATTAAAAACAAGTGAATGTGACAGTGTGGGGATGAGGAAATACTATTTTCTNNNNAACTATAAGAACAATATATATCAGTCAATTAAACTAAAAAGAAAGACAATTAAATAAAGACAATTAATAAAAACAAGATAGCAGAAATACAGAATAAGCGCTGGGTAAAAACTGAAATCCAGTAATAAATAGCAGCTAGAGTAGGCCCACTCTGGTATGGAGGAGCTGAATCATCCAATCCCCACTGATTCAGTGGGCCTACTCTAGTTGCAACTTACTTCTGGATTTCAGACATTAAATTATACATAAGCAGAATTCAAGCTCCTAGTGCAACTGTAGACAATTCTTTCTACTGCAGCTGGCAAGTGTAGTCTGCTATTTTCTGTGAATAAAATATTCACAGAGGGGATTTTACAATGATAGGGTTTTTTGTTTGTTTTAGTGAAATATTCATTCATTCATTCATTCATTTAATTTTTATACTGCCTATCTGACTGCCAGGGACCCTCTGGGTGGTTCACAACATAATAGACAACAATAACACATTAAAATAAATAACAACTACAAAACTATAATAACAATATATATCAGTCAATTAAACTAAAAAGAAAGACAATTAAATAAAGACAATTAATAAAAACAAGATAGCAGAAATACAGAATAAGCGCTGGGTAAAAACTGAAATCCAGTAATAAATAGCAGCTAGAGTAGGCCCACTCTGGTATGGAGGAGCTGAATCATCCAATCCCCACTGATTCAGTGGGCCTACTCTAGTTGCAACTTACTTCTGGATTTCAGACATTAAATTATACATAAGCAGAATTCAAGCTCCTAGTGCAACTGTAGACAATTCTTTCTACTGCAGCTGGCAAGTGTAGTCTGCAAAGACTGTGGTGTAGCATGATTATGAACATAGTACAGTATTCATACACAATAAATATCTAGAGATGGTAAATGAGGGTAACTAGCTGAAATTCAGCAGGACAGACACATTTCCGAGGTCTCTCCACCTGTGAATTTTGGGTATGTTTGGTAACTGTCATTCCAATTCTTCGTTTGTTTTATTAAAAAGCCCAAAATAAATTTGCAGTACAGTGGGGTCTTGACTTAAGATACAAAACCATAATAACAATACATATCAGTCAATTAAACTAAAAAGAAAGACAATTAATAAAAACAAGATAGCAGAAATACAAAATAACCATTGGGTAAAAAGCTGAAACCCAGTAATAAATAGCAGCTAGAGTAGGCCCACTCTGGTATGGAGGAGTTGACTCACCCAATCCTCACTGATTCAGTGGGCCTACTCTAGTTGCAACTTACTTCTGGATTTTAGACATTAAATTATACATAACCAGAATTCAAGCTCCTAGTGCAACTGTACACAATTCTTTCTACTGCAGCTGCCAAGTATAGTCTACAAAGACTGTGGTGTGGCATGATTATGAACATAGTATTCATACACAAAAATATCTAGAGATGGTAAATGAGGGTAACTAGCTGAAATTCAGCAGGACAGGCACGTTTCCGAGGTCTCTCCACCTGTGAATTTTGCGTATGTTTGGTAACTGTCATTCTAATTCTTCGTTTGTTTTATAAAAAGCCTGAAATAAATCCGCAGTAAAGCCATGCTGTGAGAGGCAATGAAATACACTCAACAAAGTAAGATGTATCTTTTAAAGACATACTTGGAGGCCTGGTAAGCCTTGTAGCCCTGATGATCCAGGTATACCTTGTGGGCCTGGCATACCCTGATGAAGAGAACAGAGAGATCTGACTATTAGTGAGCCATAAAACAAAATAGATTTTTTACATACATTCTCCAAGATCCTGGCACAGACCTGGAATAAGACTAAACTGGGGATGGGCAAAGTGCAAGCTGTGTGGCATGTGCCACCCTCCAATGGATCAAATGTCACCTTTCAGCATCCTTGGGGGCACCTCCCTCCCTCCACAAAATGTTAATGGTTTGTTCAGTTCCCTTGTGCCCTCAAGGTCATGTGAGAGTCGATTCTGCCATGTTTTGAAAGGCTCCTCCACACCCAGAATTTTGCCAGTAGATGGCATGGAGGGTTTTTGTTTTTGTTTTCATTTTTAACAAAAGTTGTGTTAAAATGTATATTTGGGTGATGAGCAGGGTACAGAAAAGCATTCAGTACTTTTAAGTCCAAGGATGTATATATGCAGCCCTCAGACTTCTGAAGATTACTCACTCCTGCACAAGACATTAGGAGAAATGCATACACTCTGTGATTACATCTGTTCTTCCAGACACCAAAACAAAAAACAAAACAAAACAATAACAGAAAGATGTATCTCAGCAAGCAGGTTTACAAATTAAGCCCATGTTTACCTTCTGAGGACCAATCCTAAAGCAAAGCATGCTAAAGTGCGAGAAGGGAGAAAAACCTGTGCTACCACCAACAGATGTCTTTCACCATTTTAAGTGAGTATGAGTTCTAAATTCAAGCTGTGAATCATCTTATTTGACTGCTAGTTTAGTGATTCAGAGAATGACACAAAACCTGAAAAATCCTGGCAAAATTCTTCTAAAAATACCTTAAAATGCCCATAAAATTAACTTCTGGGACTAAATGTCACTCATTGGAACTAAACAATGTAGGAATTCTTGTAATATCCAAAAAAGTAACTTCTTCTTCTTCTTCTTCTTCTTCTTCTTCTTCTTCTTCTTCTTCTTCTTCTTCTTCTTCTTCTTCTTCTTCTTCTTCTTCTTCTTCTTATTATTATTATTATTATTATTATTATTATTATTATTATTATTATTATTATTATTATTATTATTATTATTTATATCCCACCTATCTAGTCAATTAAGACCACTCTAGATGGCTTACAACAAAATATAACAATATAATTAAAAACAATTTTATATAAGTGGAAAAACTTTGGACAAGATGGGACAGACACTAGGAAAAGGAGAGGGGGGAAATCAGGAATTGGCTGAGGGGAAGGCCTGCCGAAACATCAGTGTTTTTAGTTGTTTTTTAAAAATACCCAGTTAAATTACTACTAGTTGCATTACTCACTACCCTTAAAAGAACCAGGGGAAGTTAAATTACTTGTAACTAATTACTCCTCCACTCTGGGCAAGTCATAATAAGCCACTGTACATTTTGAATATGCCACGTGGTATTTTTTCTATATTGCATTAAGTATTCCTGCTTCATACAACTTTGTATTACCTGTTGGCCTTGGAATCCAGTTTCCCCAGGATAGCCTGGTTCACCTTCATTTCCTGGTGCACCCTGCCAGATAAAACATGAAGAACTGAAGAAAATGTGTGTTTGTAAACTTTTACAACCTCTACTAAAATGAATAAAACGTTCCTGCCAAGTGAGTATTGAGAAAATCATTATAAAAAGGGAAATAAAAGATTGTCTAAGCTACTTGTCTTTTCAATCAGCTGATGAATAGAATGGGTCAGAGGCATTCATTTGACAGCAGTAGGGAATTAAGACTGTGGTAGTGCTTTCTGTGAACATTTTGGCAGCCTTGCAAGAGTATAAAAGCAATAGTTTCCCCCTGCTATTGCTCTACCCACCATAAAACTGATTTTCAGAGGATTACTGTCTTTGAATCTGGAGGTCCCATTCGCCTCTAACAGGACCCCACTCCATAGATTTGTCTCCTTTGCTCTTAGACCAATATATTCTATCCTGCATAAAGGAGTTTGCTCATACTCAGTTATTCTGGGCATACAGCCCATGTGAGACTTGAACTGAAATTCCTCAATTTAAACTTTTAGCCATCACACAGCATTCACTCCAGGGATGTAGCTCTCTATTTTTGATTCTCTTTCCACATGATAATGTGCAATGGCAAAATCATTTTCCTTGTTCCTCAAAGAATGAGGCATTTTGTGGTGACAACAGAAGAAGGGAACTATTTTTGCAAAATGTGCAAAATTACACAAATAGCACTTTCCTGTGCAAAATTATGATAGTTGCTATTTTGATATATGGACTTTTAAGAATGAGAAGCATTGAAAGGGTTGTTTGTATCTTTTGAAACTATCAACCAATCGTTCTGCACTTGCTTTGTCCATGTACTGTATTGCTGCAGTCTGCATGATGTAGTTTAAAGCTGTCGCTGCAATCCCTCACAAGGCCCACATAGTAGCATCATTGTCAAGCATTCTGGGGAAACTAAATGGTACCCATGAACTGCCAAGTGTATGATCCCCAAATGCTATTTTTGCAATGGGAGTCCCCATTAATTGTGGCCAAATAGAAGTCATTTTGGAGAGCCACATCATCAAAGGAACAAAATGTGTCACCAAAAAAGAGGACAAAAGAATGTTTTGAATAAAATTTGCATATGGTGATTTATATGCATAGTTGCATGATGAGAAATAATTATAATTTAAATTAAAATGCAGGGTATGTCACCAGAGTGGGAAATAATGCAACCAAGTGACCTGTGGTGTCCTGGGGCTAAATGCCATTGGACATCTTCTGATCATTCTTGCTTCTTCAGCTGGATGTGGACTGAAAAGTCCTTCATACAAAAGATAAGGAACAAAGCAAAACAAAAAGAGAGACAAAAATGATTGGCACCTTAAAGACCAAGTGCTATATTTTAACATGAGCTTTTATGGATAAAGTTGACTTCCTCAGATACAAGAGTGAGACTTTATGGCAATCATTTATATATGGCCCCATGACACAGTGGGACTACAGAGGATAATAACCTGTTCCCCCGAAAATAAGACCTAACCTGAAAATAAGCCCTAGCAGGATTTTTCAGGATACTCGTAATATAAGCCCTACCCCAAAAATAAGCCGCTTAAGTGAAACCCCGCCCTCCACCATTGTGCAGCAACCAGAAGATGACATGACTGTATTTGAAAAAATGTAGATTGTTGTACATGAAAAAAATTAAACATCCCATGAAAATAAGCCCTAATGCGTTTTTGGAGCAAAAATTAATATAAGTCCCTGTCTTATTTTCAGGGAAACAGGGTAGTTGGTTAGTATAGTAGACAGGAGTTGCAAATTGCATGAGTCAATGTGGCATTTCACACTTGGTAACTACTTAAGACCCCCTGGCTGCCTTTGTGCTCTTTTCCTTCGAACCTTTGTTCTATAAAAATTCTGATAATGGTTTGTTGGTAAAGGAACCAGAGGAACAAGTATTACATTGAAAACATGGCTTTAAACCACTGTTCTTTGAAAGCTATTGAGGCAGAGATCTGACTCATGCAAATATATGACCATCCTACCTCCATGGTTAAAGGACACCTTTATATTATCAAGCAATGATGATGTGAAAGTGAAAACTAAAACCTCATGGAGTGGGAGCAGAATTGAATTCTTGATCAATTTTATTATCAAAGCATGAAAACGAGAAGGCATGGACAATATACCCATAATAAACATATGCTCCAGAGCTGTGCTTCTTTGCTTGATTGCTTTAATTGACCAGTTAACTTCATAGGTCACTCAACTGACACATTTTTACTGAGGTCTTAGAGTCAAATTGATGTGAGCAATTTTTTTTAAAGGGCTGTTATTTAACTGCAAAAGTAACACTACCCAGGAGATTTTGTAATTTGAAGATTATCTCATTGATTAATACCTACAGCGATAGTTAATCAATGCAGGTAGAAAAGTTATTCTCCACGGTGTTGATTAGTGACGGGCTTTGAACAGAAAGACGGTATAATGTAACATTTTTAATGTGTGTTTAAAACAAGAGCAGAAGTAAATTTAGATAAATGACCAAGCCTGGAGGGCCCTCTAGAGTTCCATAAAAATATTGTCAATGTACTGTATGTATAGTTGTTTTGTTGTTTAGTCGTGTCCGACTCTTTGTGACCTCATGGACCAGAGCATGCCAGGCCCTCCTGTTTTCCACTGCCTCCCAGAGTTGGGTCCAATTCATGTTGGCAGCTTCAGTGGAACTGTCCAATATCTCATCCTCTGTCATCTCCTTCTCCTCTTGTCTTCACACTTTCCCAGCATCAGGGTCTTTTCCAGGGAGTCTTCTCTTCTCATGAGATGTCCAAAGTACTGGAGCCTCAGATTTAGGATCTATCCTTCCAGTGAGCACTCAGGGTTGATTTCCCTCAAAATGGATAGGTTTGTTCTCCATGCAGTCTAGGGGACTCTCAAGAGCCTCCTCCAGCACCACAATTCAAAAGCATCAGTTATTTGGCGGTCAGCTTTCTTTATGGTCCAGCTCTCACTTCCATACATCACTACAGGAAAAACCATAGCTTTCACTATTTTGACTTTTGTTGGCAAGGTGATGTCTCTGATTTTTAAGATGCTGTCTAGGTTTGTCATCACTTTCCTCCCAAGAAGCAGGTGTCTTTTAATTTCATGGCTGCTGTCACCATCCGCAGCGATCATGGAACCCAAGAAAGTAAAGTCTGTCACTGCCTCCATATCTTTCCCTTCTATTTGTCAGGAGGTGATGGGATCAGTGGCCATGATCTTAGGGGTTTTTTTTATGTTGAGCTTCAGACCATTTTTTGCACTTTCCTCTTTCACCCTCATTAAGAGGTTCTTTAATTCCTCCTCACTTTCTGCCATCAGAGTGGTATCATCTGCATATCTGAGGTTGTTAATATTTCTCCCATCAATCTTAGTTCCGGCTTGGGTATAGTTGTTTAGCAAGCCTCAAAGAGGATGTTGCTCTAAAATTGGACTAGGATGATGAGTAAAGGATATCGCAAGCTTCTTAGGAGATATTTTAATTTGAAGTCAACATGCTTTACATCCCATGATGAAAACAGAGTCTTTCTGAATCAGATCATAGGCCCATTTAATTAATTTGTTTGACTTCTATACTTCCCATCTGGCTACAAGGCCACTATGGGCAGCTTACACTCAACGGAACAATGACACATTAAAATATAAAACATTATCAAACAAATCGTACCAAAAATTAAAACATTCAGAAAAAGATATAGAACATAATTATATACAAAATCAAAGACAAAATCGAAAATCAGAATCAAAATGAGTACACAATATATGTGTATACTTTTTGTTTCCTGCTGCATTTTCTTCTAATTGGGTTCCAAACAGATCAACACACTTGCTCCCTCCAGAAATGCAAATACAAATGGATGATGGAAATCCAGTCACTATTGCTAGATTGATGGGACGTGGTGGTGCTTCAGGCTAAACCGCAGAAGCCTGTGCTCTGGGAGTTCGAGTCCCCAGTGTTCGCTTTGACAAGAGCTGGACTTCATGATCCATAGGGTCCCTTCCAGGTCTCCAGTGCTAAGATTATAGCAACATCCAGTGTGGTGCAGTGGATAGAGAAACACACTAGGACTTAGGAGACCTGGGTTTCAAACCCAGCTCACCATAGAAGCTCACTGTGGGTGTGGAACCGGTAAAACCGCCCCATAAATATCTCACTTACCTTAGAAAGCCCGATAAGAATTGTTACAAGTCAGTCCCAACTTAACGGTACATAACAACAAATGCCCCTCACAGCCCTAACTGGCCAGATGCTCACTTTCATCCTCCAACATGATGAAATGGACAACCAAATATTTAAGAAAAGCTGAGCAACAATCTGCACTACTCTTTCTGCCACCCCTTTTTTTCCCCCTAGAGTGCAAAAAGCCCTCTTCTTCCTGAAATCTCATAGATGTGTTGACTATGGATGCCACCCCCTTTTTTTTCCCCTAGAGTGCAAAAAGCCATCTTCTTCCTGAAATCTCATAGATGTGTTGAATTGAAGTTTGCATTGTTAGGATCGTCAAACATCTAGCAATGGGTTGTGTCTCCGTATGACATCCAGGAGCATGGTAAAAGTCTGGTTTCCCCCAGTAAAATATTTAGCACAATGTAGTTGCAGTAGCTACTCACCTTTGAGCCAGGAGGACCTCTGCGGCCAACAGGACCCTTTTTTAAAAAGGAGGGGAAGAAACAGTAACATTATCCTAAAGAGGAATAAGTTTAAAATAACGACACTAAAGGTCTTGCATTTCTATAAAATATTTATCTTACATTGGCCTCTTACTGCTTATTGGAGTGCTTATCTGTGACCCCAGCTCTACTCATGTGACAACCACTGTCCCTACTGATTAGTCCTGTATTTTAAAGATAGTCAAACAAGCTTACTGGGCTTGCTTACCCAACAATGTTTATTGGAAAACTTATCCATTGCAGTTCATCAGCAAGTCCACCAATAAGTCAAAACCATTTTAATAGTTTGCAGTGAAACTGAATAAATGTATAGGGCAATAACAAGCCACTTAAGGGCTTCTAACTGGAGATTTAGGTCGACAATCTTTCCTTATCTTGAGTCACCAGTATGTCAACTACAACAATCATCATTCTTGGGCATGCTGGCAGAGGGAAATGGGAATGCCGCCCAACAACATCTGGGAATCACAGATAAGGAAAGCCAGTAAGAGAAGTTAATTCCTAACTTCTTGATAAATTAAATCTATCAAAAAGAGCTAGCTGTCAGTCACTGGAGTCAAATTACTTTAAAGTGGATACAGATAAAACCAAGGAGAAAGCATGTAACATTATTAAGCTTAGAATTTATAATTTATTTATTTTATTAGATTTATACCCCGCCCATCTAGACCAAAGGAAAACCTCTCCCTCTGGATCTTCGGGCTTCCTCCCTCTTTCAGGCCATCAAATTATTGTTGTCTAGTTTTGGAATGCTTGCTGGATGGCTCACTAGAGGTTGGGAGTTTGATTCC